AACCAATCCACGAAATTGCGCGATCATCTTCCATTGTACTGAGGTAGATACCTGTCTCTACCCGACACGGATTAGCTCCACTGGTCACGACTTCTCATTAGAACTCCGAGAATTTTCTCATGAAGCTAGTCACTAGTTAGCACATGTTAATTATCAGTATAGGGGTTGTGGAGATTATTAAGTTTTTGACTGAGGACGAAACGGCCATCCAATGCTTCCATGTTTCCAACGATGGTCTAACATCAATCGGTTCATGATCTCAATCGAAAAAATTAATAATCTCCACAACCCCTATTCTGGCATCACATTTATTCAGATCAACTCCCTCTTCTCATTGTTCTATGAAAAATTTTTTAAATGGAACTAACTGCTTTAGAAAATTTAATACCAAAAAAAATGGAAGAATCATTGAATAATACATACCATTAAAGCAATTAAATTCATTGGTTTCCATAATCCAATATATCCAATTAATGCAGCTATCAAACCGAAACATCCAGTAAATAAAATAGTTGGAATGATAGCTGATATTGATGTATGTAAAATGGTTGTATATTCTGATAAAGTATTTTGTGTTATTATACCTAATATAAGTAGTATAATGTTAAATATCTTTTATTTTGATGAATAGAATTATACTACTTACAACAAATAAAGTATTTAATGTAATAAATATTTTCTGCCAAAATTCTCTTGATAATGAAACACACATCATTTTCTTAATTCTAAAAAAAGAAAGAAAAGAAAAGAAGAGGAATTCAATCACTGGGTTACTATAAAATGAAGTTTTAATGTAAAACATGGTTGTAATGGAAAAAAAAACCATTATACTGAATCCAAATGTCAATCAAATAGATTATTGCATTGATGGGTATAACAAATTCGACAATCAATTTACATATACTGTTGAGAAACTGTATAAAAATCTATCTTTACATAGATCAAATATGTCGTCAGTTAGTGTAGAATACAATTGGTATTTATATAGATAAATTTTACTTACTTACGTCTGTGACTCCTCGTGAAGGAACATAGGCCGCGTACCAGCATTCTCCATCCAACCCTGTCCTGAACAATCCTCTCCAGCTCCTTCCACTTCTTATTCATCCTTTCCATATCTGCTTTTATTTCCCGACGTAATGTGTTCTTAGGCCTTCCTCTTTTCCGCCTTCCTTCAGGACTCCAAGTTAGGGCTTGTCTCGTGATGCAGTTTGGCGATTTGCGTAGTGCATGTCCTATCCATTTCCATCGTCTTTTTCTAATTTCTATTTCAGCTGGAAGTTGGTTTGTTCTCTCCCACAGAAGGCTGTTGCTGATGGTATTCGGCCGGTGAATTTTGAGTATTTTGAGTAGACAGCTATTTATAAATACTTGTACCTTCTTGATGGTAGTTGTAGTAGTTCTCCAAGTTTCAGCTACGTAGGAATGCTGTCCTTGCTTTGCTAATCCTCGCGTTTATGTCTACATCTGAACCTCCTTGTTCATCGAATATGCTTCCCAGGTATAGATAAATATATCTGAGTTTTAATGAAATCATCATCATCATCCAAAGCATAATCATCAAATACGTGCTTACCATGTATGATTGTAGTTTATTGTAGACGTAAGAAATATTGGTTCCTGCCTTTTATTTAGAGCTTATACGTGTTATTATTTCAATATTGATATTAATGATGATTGATTGTTGAGAAAAACCCAAACAGGAATGAGAAACGTTACATAAACACACACACACACACACACCTATTTTAATGTGATTCTTTTAGATAATGATGTAATGATACATGTACTCATGTTTAGGTAGAATATGAAATGGAAAGTTGCTATAAACGTAATAGTATTGTAATCGATATCAAACATTTATTTATTGTGCTTGAGTTTTTTAATAGCTCTGTTTTATATTAATTAAAGTAATTGTAACGAAAATTACTGAAGTGCGTATTTACTTACTTACTTATTTACTCCTGTTACCATTTGTGGAGAAACATAGGCCGACCACCACAATTCTCCAACCAACTCTATCTTCCATTCTCTTTTATAGCTGCTCTCAAATGCTATTCATTCTTTTGATACCTGCCTTCAATTCTCGACTTAATATATTCTTCATATTACCTCTTTTCCTCTGGCCTTCAGATATCCAAGTTAAGAATTATGTCGTGCTGCAGTTTGATAGTTTCTTCAATGTGTGTTCTATCCACCTCCAATTCCTTTTCTCGATTTCTTGTTCAGTTGTCAAGTTGTTTATTGTGTGCTATAGTAGGTTGTTGTTAATTATATCCAGTCAACGGATATTGAGTATTTTGCGTAAAGAATTGTTTATGAATAGTTGCACATGTTTGATAATGATTGTAGTAGTTCTCCAAGTTTCAGCTCCATTCAGTAGAACTATCTTGATGTTTGTAATGAAAATCGTTATGCTGCGCAGTGTCTGAGATCTGATACTGATGACTAAAGTGCTATGTGCTCACCACCCAAACTAATTGTTTGAGCAAGAAGACGAGAGTGGAAGAAAAATTCTACTGGGTTACCAAACAATATGCATAAATATGCATGTGTGTATATACATATCTATCCCGTAGAAAATGAATCTATTTCCAAGAAAATGATATACATTTGTCCTTCAGGTCATTTCTAATTATCTTGGCTTTCACCATGAGGCGTTATAATACTTCTCTCAACTCAGAGGATAGAATTTAAATGGTTGAATTTGTTTAGTCTGGTTAGCATTTTTGTTTTATTTTCCAAGATTGTTTTCTACCAGGATGAGTTTGTTGACCCTATTTCTAACTCTCTCCTTTATCGAGGCATGGAACCAACAATTTCTGTATTGACATGGAATACAAAATTCGATCAAAATTCAACATACATCAATCATTTAGTGAATAGTTAAGAAAGTTGATTATACTTATATTAAAGTTAGGAACTATGGAATCCTGGAAAGTTATTTTGTTTTATCATATAGAATGTTAAACTGATGCCACAGATAACAGAAGATAATGTTCACATAATATTGGAAAGTCATAAAAAAGTAGTATACAACGGTGATCAGACATAGAATGTATTTCAGTAGATGATCAATAAGGAAAGAACGGAAACGGAACGCAGTTAGCATGATTGTGCCGACTTGTGTTCTTGTTCACTACACCTCTGTCACCTTAATTATAAATTATTCGGTTAGCCTGGAATTCGGTTGGTTATCGTTCATAGCTATGTAATTGTTGTTTGTTTGTTTTGAATGTTTTCTCTTTTTACCTGTTCTCTCACACTACAGTGACTTATCCTTACTGGTTAATAGGAATCGGTTAGTTTTTATTCTATCTGAAAGAAAAGGTGTAATTATTCTATGTGAACATTTACCTACAAAGATTTATATTCGTATAATTAATTGATGTTCACTATGGGACTCAAACTCAGTACCATCCTTTTCAAACTCCGACGAGGTTATCCATCTAGCTACTGAGTCTCAGAGTGAGCATCAATTCCGAGAAGCAGACACATCCAGCTGACGAGTCCCAAATAGGACGAAACATGAGTCCCGGATTCCACTGCTAGCCATTATCCATCTTTCCTTAGAATGCTTGTTAATTAAGACAATATCGAGTCAATGTACGCAGTATGCACATATGGCAATAATAGATTGATCAATTACAGTCCTAAAAATCAGTGGGAAGATTCAAGTAAACAATATCAAATAAATTTAAACTTCACCACATTGTACAAGCAAATGGCTATCAGGATTCACTAGCTAAGTGGATAATGTGATGGCGTTTGGAGCAAACGGTACCGGGTTCTAGTTTTGAAGTGAACACCAACTCTGAGATGCAGGTACATCCAGCTGACCAATCCTAAATAGGATGAGACGCACGTCCTGAATTCCACTGCTAGCCACTGTCCATCTTTCCTTAGAATGCGGCGAGACTATAACTTATAGGCGAACCAATCAGATATAGGATAGCGAGTCACGAATTTTGGCGCGAAATTCATCCATACCTTTGGCTAAATAGAGTTTTGACATTATAGCTGATATCAGTTCGTGATGAAAACCCTAAATCTAATTTTAACTCTTACCATCAACTGTAAATAAAAATTCTAATAGCTTTATAACCTTCATTTAGTCCTAATCAGTAAGTGTCCATCGTCAGATTCATTTCAGCGTCACTCAAATGTCGTCCATATATTATGGTCTCACCTAGAATGCATGTGAATTACGACAATATCGAGTCAATACACATGATATCCATATATACCAATAAATGACTGATCAATTACAATCTTAAAACATTAATAAAAAGATTCAAATAATACAACAATACCAACTGAATATTAAACAATATGGTGATATTCACTTGGTATTGTTTGGCTTGTATCTTCCCATTGAAGTTTATGACTGCAATTGATCAGTCTGTTATTGACATATGTGCATACTGTGCGTATGCCTCGGTATTGCCTTAATTCACAAGCTTTGTGTAAGCAATGATGGATAGCAGTGGAATCCAGTTTGACGCACATTTCTTCCTATTTATGACTCGTCAGTTGGATGTACCTGCATCTTAGAGAGTTGATGTTCACTCTGGGTTAAGTGAAGTGTTATGTTGATATTCCTACTATTCAAGATTCATATTCTCTGATCAATTCATTTAAGTAAACAATTGTTTACATTATATAATAGAAAAAAGAAACAATATTTGTTTTATTCTCATCATTAATTCTGTTGATTACATAATAATGATAATAATGGCCAAAAAAGAATCAACAACAGTATCCATGAAATACAGATTGTCAAATGTGATATATGACATTACTTTAATCAATAATGATGCAATTTGTATGGATGACATGATTGTTGTTGTTGTATTAAGTAAACAATTGAAAAGGAATGGAAAGAAAAAAGAAGAAAACAATTGAAGTTTATCTTCATTTAAGTAATGATAACTGATTTATGATGATTAGCCTATACTCCTTCGGGGGGGGGGTAATAGGTGTAAGTATGTAAATCAGATTTATGGTGATGCATTTTTTCCAGTCAATGAATTTTTAAATAAACAAATAGAGATAATCACATAAATAGCTTTAATAATACCAAATACAAAGCACATAGTAATTAATGCAACGATATAATGTTGGGCATAATCACTGAATGGTTCTACACAACCCTGATAATATTACCACAAAAAAAAGAAAAAAAAAGAAAAGGAAAAAAGAAAGTGAGAAAAATGAAAGTGATGAATTATATAATTGTAAATCAATATTGTAATGTTAAGCAAGTTTACATTATGTTATCATTTAGAGGTGATACAAATAGTCTCATGTTGAAACGGAGATGTAAATGAGCTAACAACCGAACACTTTATACAGCCCAACTGTTTCAATAAAAGTCCAAATAGCACATAAGCGATTGTGTCCATCAATTTTATTATTCTCACTATTATCAGTACACTTGTCTTCCTACTATCAACTTGTACTTTTACTTATTATGTGTAGTGACTTATTCTATTTCACAGATTGAAATCATGAGTCACTTGAAGCTAGACCATTGAAAACCTGGAAGCACTGGACGGCCGTTTCATCCTAGTACGGGACTCCTCAGCAGTGCGCATCCACGATCCCGCACCACCCGGGGCTCGAACCCAGGACCTACTGGCTTCGCGCGCGAGCACTTAACCACTAGACCACTGAGCCGGCATCCAACAGTGTTAATGTGTAACTTCAACCAATCCACGAAGTTGCGCCACCGTACACCATTGTCTTCAGTGAGTTCCTATCTCACAACAGACCTGGTTGAACTCCACTGGTAACGGCTTCTCACTAGAACTTCGGGAGTTTTTCCTGAAGTCAGTCACTAGTGAGCAGTTGATTATTATCAGAAGGGGTTTTGTGGAGATTTTAGAAATTTCACAGATTGAAATCATGAGTCAGTTGAAGCTATTCTATTTCATTGTGATTATTGACTCATATTGCCTTGGTTGGTTTACATTTTCGTATAAATATTCATGTATATTAAAGCCTGATGATGATCTAATTGAAAACAACAACTAGAAAACGACCAAGTAAGCTCAATGATCAGTCAATTTCACCTATACGTTAGATATATGAACGACACGTTTATCATTTGTGACAATAATATTGATTTAGAGGATATTTTAAACACCTTTAACTCATGCCACCCTTCTATAGACTTCACGTTAGAAATTTGTGTATGTTTCTATAGCATTTCTTAATCTGATTATCTCTACATAAATGAGTATATATTCATTATGGTGATGATTATTGTAAACTATCCGATTAACTATTGAATACATTATAACTTCTTTTGTATAATTGAAATCATCTAAAACTAATCAAAGAATATATTTTCGTTACTCATTATATCCCTTTATAATCCCATTATAATTATACTATACTTGTATTGTATTGTATTTGACATGATTCGATTATTTGAGGTAATGAATACTTGAATAATAGTTATTTTTCTTAAGTTATTTTGAGTGAACACAATGCAGTCGAATGGTCTATGAGTGAATGTTATGCCTTGATGAATAAGCAGCCAAACTCCAGTTTTCTGAAGTTTGCTGAATCCGTTGCTATCAGACGCCAGAAACTTGATATATGTGTTCAAAAAGAGATAGTTATTAATCTTTCCTTACCTTGGTGGCAAATATTCTTTCACTGCATCATTTGAGCTCTACTCATTATATTCCTATCAATGTTTACTCATTATGTAATCACTTGTTCTTAGCCGTTTGAAATGCTGTCACAATCAATGTTGTAGAATACTCTTTTACATAAGGTATATATGTTTACAATGTTCAGTCTATTCAATTTATTTACACCCTTGTTACACTATATTAATATGTCTTCAATATATCTTCCAACGAAACCCTTTTATTTAAGTCATTTAAACCCATTATGTAATTATGATTCTTAAATATCACAGGTTGTAAGATGCTGACGAGAAACAACAAAATAAATGGTGTCTGTTGGAATCTATTTCTCAACTAATACTACACATATATTGTATAATTAGGTAACTAAACTACTCATATTCGTGTTCCTCTTATGATAAGCTTTATTATGATTTATGAATTATTATTATACGATTTACCATTATTGAGTTATACCCAGTCTATCAATTACAGTCTCCTACATTCACAACCACTTTTGGATAGAACTCGTACAGATGTTAATTTCTATTTTATGGTGTGATGTGGTCTGTTTATATTCTATACAAACTCATTGTGTTTGAAATAAATGATTTATATTTCAGAGGTTGAGATTGGTGTTCTGAACTCAAAAGGCAGCGCTACACAGGAAGATATGAGGACTGATAAGGACTCTAGACTGCTCGTACGGGTTTTATATATCATTGGTCCGGTTGATAATTCACTGTTCTCTAATTGGCTGTATCATTACATTATAGATTAATAAAGCACAAGGCCACAAGTTATAACAGTAAAATTAAAATTCTTCACAATCTTACATTGTACAGGAAAGATAGTATATACAAGAAGTACTATTTTGTAGGTTAGAGTATTGCTAACATAGTCCTCAAATTGTTCACGTTCATCTAACGACAATTCAATCAATGCGTGACTTCTTGTTTGAATTGTCATTAGATGAACGTAAACAATTTGAGGACCATGTTACTAATGATACGGAAAAAGGGTCACAAAAAGCTAAACGTTAGTACTTGGAAACATTGCAACACGTGTAATATTGTTGTCAACTAATGGTATAAGGATAATGATATGAAAAATAGGACTAGATGATAATTAACCGTCGGATTGTATAGAAATATGCAATGGTAGTTAAAAATAGAAGAGCTATCTAACATTTGATCTGTCATATAATACTTCAATAGCTGGTAACATATCGCAAATTTTTTAAGACAACAATCATTCACTTAAACCTGTGTAATACTTAAGACAGACTGCTTGAATATCTGGACTACCTGTTCTTGCCATCTAGATATTGCAGCAGATTATGTTTTTATTGTTTGTTTTAACACATCATTATGTCTATTAGTCTCATAACCTATTCAGGTGCGTTTCTCAAATAGTGTACAATCTTTCGTTGTACAAGTTACAAAAGAGCCTAATCAGAGACATCCTGGTTGCTGGCAATATTCATTGACAAGAGTATACATTATTCAAATGTCGAATGACTGGACTGCTAACTTATAAATGGACACCACTCAATATCTTATTATGAGAATCGATGAAGCAATACGAAACGGAAACTTATTGAAATACTTTGTTTCAATAATTGACGTCATGAGTCGATTAAAGCTAGACCACCATGGAAAACCTGGAAACATTGGACGGTCGTTTCATCCTATTATGGGACCCGTCAGCAGTGTGTATCCACGCCTGCACCTCGCGGGATTCCAACCCACGACCTATTAGTCTCACGCACGAGCGCTTAACCACTAGACCACTGATAATTCTATATTGTATCAGAAATATAATACTGAGTAAAGCGACTAATAATAATAATATACGTAATGTATTTAGCTTGAATGAATATTGTGAACTGTATGTAACTGACCACAGAAAACAGGATAGAACATAATACAAAATGAGAAATATCATGGAACCAAACTGTTCATCAAAGAACGCGAGTTCAGTAACATAGTTGTATTACGTAACACTGACAATTTGTATAGATCACTTTCTAATTGTCATTCTATTCTGATAACAATGAACAAATATAAACTGTTTACATTCATTTTATCTAATATAAATCTCTCATATTGATTAAATTAATTGATTATGTAACATCTATCATAATGAAATTCTATAGAGAATTCTCTATCAAAAATTATTATTATACTTTAAATATATAAATTATTAATCATAAATAATTTATAACTTACTCTTGCATAAACTAATGTCCCAATAAAACAAGTAAATGGTACAGTTTTATTTGTTTTTATATAATCCAAATAGGATGTAGCTCCACAACATCTAAACTATTAAAAGTAAATAAAATATCAGTATAATTATGTAATATAATTAAAATCAAATATTTATAATGGAGTTTTCTTCTCTGAACTCGATGGTTTGGTCATGGATTATCCGTCATGCTTCTTCTGAACAACATTATCATCAGTATAAACTTTAGGTAGAAGTGAAGTGTTCAAATTTCTTCATATGTAGTTCATAGCTTCTCTTATACAATTCGATATTCATTGATTCTTATTCATTCCTTTGATATTGTTGAGTAGAATAATGAAAGTTACATGATCAAAACATTCAGTTCAATGAATAAACCTCCATTAAATTTATCCATTTAAGTTAAAAATCTTCTTTATCATACTAAATATTATCAGAAATAACTTACTTTATTTTGTAATTTATCCATTTCTACTTGAATATAAGGATTTGAATGAAATTGTTTCACAGCATATAGTAATGAATAATTAGCGGCTGTTTGAAACTATTTAACAACAACAAACAACAACAAATATCATCAAATTATTTCATAATAATAATAATAACTAACTTTTTCTCCTGTAGTAGCTGTCGCTGTTGCTATGGCAATCTCAATAATTACTGCAAGACATAAACATGCAATATGCTATTACATAATTAATCAATATAAAATTTATTATTTACTAGTATAACAATAAATTTTTTTGGTTTCCATAATCCAATATAACCAATAATTGTACCAATTAATATAAGGCATCCTATAAAAATTGATATTGGTATGATAGGTGGTATGATTCCATTTAAAATTGTACCGAATTTATTCAATGTTTCTATTCCTTTAATACCCAATGCAAGTAGTACAATACCAAATATCTTGATTATTATCACAGTATAATGAGAATAGTTGAGTTACTTACAACAAAACAAGTATTTAATAATATAAATAATTTTGTCCAAAATTGTTGAGGTAATGACAAATTCATCATATTGGTTGACAACAACAAGATGATTTTCAATTGAATTGAAAGCAAATAATTTCTGTAAAATAAAACGGAGATTTAAGTTTTCTAAAAGTTTAATTGTTTAGAAGAGAACAAAAATGTGAAAAACGACATAGAATTAATTGTATGTGTTCCATTTTATGTTCCATAATGATTCATATACATTTGATGTATTTGGTTTGATATTGTAAGTTGTCAAATCATGATAAAGGATTTTGTTGTTGTTGTTGTTGTTGTTGAGTCAAATGAATATGTGATCTTATTCATTTGTACACATGCAATGTAATTGTATTGTGTATGTGTTGATATAGAAATGTCAGTAAGACATATTTGTAATGTTGTAGCAGTTATGCTTAGATTGAGTACATTCATATATTTCACTTATTATGTATGATACAATGAAGTGTATTGGTATATACATTCTTGTCATTAGTTAATATTATATTAACAAATCAGATAAGGGAATAATTCATGAAGTGTAATGCCTAATCATAATATGATTGAAATTATATAGATAGATATCCCGCGAGCGAGATGGTGGTGGTCTAACATCAATCGGTTCATGATCTCAATAAAGAAAAAACTTAACAATCTCAACAACCTCTAAACTGAAATTATACTGTTAACTTTTAATTCAGTAGTATGTAAGTAAATTGCAGAAATGTTTGCAATATTCTTATGAACAATTCACTTGGTATTGTTTTACTTAAAATATCCTATTGATGCTTAAGACTGTAAGTGATCAGTCTCTTATTAGCATATGGGCATACCGTGTGTATCGCCTCGATATTGCCTTAATTTTCAGGCGTTATAAGCAAAGATGGATAGTGGCTAAGGCAATGGGTTCGAGTCCCAGAGTGAACATCAACTCTGAGATGCAGGTATATCCATGTGACAAGTCCCAAATAGGACGAAACGCGAGTCAAACTTGATTCCACTGCTAGCCACTATCTATATTTGCTTATAATTCTTATGAGCCGTTATTATTGTTTGGATTATCAAAGTGATGCAAATGTGATAAATGACTAAAGAATATTTATTGATTTCATTGTGTAAAAATCTTTGTTCGGTTAAACTTTATATATGTTAATTAAATAATTACGCCTGTAACTCTTCGTAGACGTGCAGAGGTCGATCACTAGCAATCTCCATCTGACCTTGTCATGGGCAATCCTTTCCAGCTCTTTCGAGTTGTTATTCATTCTTTTCATATCTGCTTCTATTTTGCGACGTCATGTGTTCATTGACCTTCCTCTTTTCCGCTTCCCTTCAGGATTCTGAGTTAGTGCTTGCCTCGTGATGCTGTTTGATGATTTCCACAACATACGTCCTATCCACTTCCAACGTCTTTTCCTAATTTCCTTTTCAGCTGAATACTTGTTTGCTCTCTCCCACAATGGGGTGTTGCAGATGGTATTGAGTATCTTGCGTAAACAACTATTTTTAAATACATGTACCTTTTTCATAATGGTTGTGGTAGTTCTTCAAGTTTTAGATCTATACAATGGGACTGTCTTGACGTGCAAATCTTCTATTAAAACAGAATTTATTATCATGAACAATGACACATAACTCCTTGAGTTAAAATGGTTACTGTGACATAATTCATTATTTGTACAATGCATTCATTCTGTGGAAGGAAGTGACTAAGAAGCTCCGTCAAATCATTTCTAACTAAATATAATTCTCAAAGAAACATAAATAGTCTGATAAGTGTGAAAATTCACCTTCTTCATGGATATAAACGTGAAAGCAACATTATGGTATAAATTCAATCAGAAAAGATTTCACTGAATCATTTCATGTGTTATCAGTAATTATGATATGTGTACATTTTTGGCAAAACTGTTGAATAGTGTATCAACCTACTGATAAATTAAAACTCGAAATCATATCATTTGAACAATGAAATTGATGCATGAATGGAATGAAATTATGAGTGAAAAGAATATCAATGATGTTTCATGTTTTTAAGAGAGTCAGTAGGAATTCATGTTTGATCTCAGTGTTTTATCTTAATTGAAATTGCGAAACGTTACTTACTTACTTACTTACTTAGGCTTGCTACTCTCAATGGAGAATAGATCACCGAACATCATTCTCCAACTCACTCTCTCCTCGGCCTTCCTTTCTAGTTCTATTCAATTGTTGTTCATTCTTCTGATGTCTATATCCATTTCTCGGAGTACTGTGTTCTTTGGTATTCCTCTCCTCCTTTGGCCTTCAGGATTTCATGTGAGAGCTTGTCTTGTGATGCAGTTCGATGCTTTCTTCAATGTGTGTTCTATTCACTTCCAGAACTTCTTCCTGATTTCTTTTTCTGCGGGAATGTGGTTTGTTCTCTCCCACAGTAGGTTGTTGTTGATAATGTCTGTCCAACGAATTCGAATTATTTTGAGCAGACAGTTGTTAATAAACACTTGTATTTACTGGATGATGGCTGTGATAGTTTTCCAAGATTTCGCCTCATACAATATAACTGTCTTGATATTTGTATTGAAAATCCTGACTTTGATGTTGGAATTGTCAGACGTAATATATCTAAAAATTTAAAGAAATTGATACTCTACATGTTATTTGAAATATGAATCACTGATTACTTTGTCAATCACAATGTAGATGAGTATGGAAAAATCATTTAATCTCTCTGTTGATCATTATGAGATTGTGTAAAGTGGGTAAATTAATCTGGACATGTAAATATTTACAATCTATATACATATATGCTTTGTATTTGTTGTGAGTAGTATGAACAATGTTTATTAGATTAAAGGAGTAATTGATGAATAACTTACTGGACGATGATGTTTATCAACGTATTCATGAAGATTAATTGTTCTTTTCAGGTTTGAGATAAAGAAAACTCCAGATGGTCAAATATTCAGCTTTAATGTTGCCGAATACAAAGGATAGATATATTATTGTTGTCATTATGTAGTTTTGTACGTATTGACAGATTGATTTAGAACAACCGTGAGAAGAAGAGGAAAGTTTATTGAAGACAATGTGCTATATACAGTTTGAAAGGTATATGAGATTGATGGAAATAATGAATGGTTTCGTGGAGCATATCATTTAAAAGTCCGTTGAACTCTGATTGTGATAAAATGTCGAAAAGAGATTTATATGTAAGAAATTCTTTGTAATTCCATGGTGTACTGTGAGGCTTTTCCCTTATTTTAAAAGTTACATTTCTATCAGTTTAATTGTTCTACTGAGGTGTATGATATGTGGTATTCTGTTTAAAGTCGATTAGCTTGATAAGGTCCATTACTTTACCACTCTCTTTTGTATATTTTCTATAGTTACCTGCTAATCAAGAAGTTTGTATTTGGTTGTTATTGATGATGTAGTGCTTTTTATTCATATAAACAACTCAAATACAAAAAAAACTATCTACCTAGCAAAATTTCAATTATGGATTTGCTAAGAATATGGATGCTGACCATATTAATCCTGATATGAAGTTGCTCCTTTTATTGTGTAATTAATCATGTAAGGATATTTTAGACTGAAGAAAACAAACTGAAAGTTCATGTACATCATGTAAATTATAGATGTTAAAAACATAAAAGTGTAGGGGCTGGTGCTATGAACAGATCAATTTATTCATTGTTCCTAAACCACATTTCTACCCTGTCGACTATTCACTTATTAACCTTGATTGTTTCTACGTAAGCGCATAAATGTGCATTTCTTATTTTACTTATCTCATGTCTGAAACTTCTTTTTGTCGAACTACAAATATTCATTCACTCTTAGTTAAATTGAGTTGGCTCACTCACCTTCTCAATTAATTTCGCTACTCTTTCCAACCAATGATTGTACAAAGTATATATATTTAAACTACATTCTTGTATTTGACTTATTTAATTCCGTTATTCACCAACGCGATGTAAGTCGATGATAATATACAAAGATTGACCATATATATGTGCATATATTTCGTTAGCAAGCAACAAACGATCAACCTGAAGTCAGATCTCCAGGTCAATAAACAAAGTAAATTACTCAGTTTGTTAGTTATCAGTAGCATTAAACTTTTGTGTTATTTTGAAATTATATTAATACATTGAATTACTGAACACTTAGCGATGATTCAATTGAAGTTTACTGATTATCGGACTGTTAATGAAATTTATAGAAATGGGAGTTCTACTGAACGGAGCTGAAACTTGCAGAACTACCACAACCATCATCAAGAAGGTACTAATATTTATAAATAGTTGTCTACGCAGGATATTCAACATTCATTGGCTGGATACCATCAGCAACAACCTTCTCTGGGAGAGAACAAACCAGCTTCTAGCTGAATGTGAAATGAGGAAAAGACGATGGAAATAGATAGGACATACATTACTCAAATCACCAAACGTCATCACGAGGCAAACCCTAACTTGGAATCCAGAAGGGAAGCGAAAAAGTGGAAGGCCAAAGAACACATTACGTCGGGAAATAGAAGCATATATGCAAAGGATGAGTAGTGACTGGAAACAGCTGGAAAGGATTGCCCAGGACAGGGTTGGATGAAGAATACTGCCTGTGCTCCTTCACGAGGAGTAACAGGCGTAAGTAAGAGAGTATTTGGAATGTAATTGACTTATTTTTGATGTTAAACTTATCCGTAATATGTTCATAGATATCTTCATAGTTGATTATCGAATACCCTCAATGTGACAGTGGCTTCACTAAATGGATATATAAACGTGAATTTCACAAGCATATTTTTCAAGGATTTTAGTGATTACGACATCACAAGAAACTTACATTTCTCATTGTCATAATAAATGATCAAACTTTCTTCTAAAAAGGATTTATTTAAATGAAACCAACCCGGATCAAGCATTATACGAACGATTAAAATGTGATTACTAAGAGACAGTCAAATCAATACAAAGGACTGAATTGATAAGGAATCAAGAGAAATCCAATAAAAGTTCTTATGGGAAGTGGTTAGCAGTCACATCAAACTAATTTATAAAATT